TCTATTCACCCCCCCCCCCCCCCGCCCCCAAGAATTGTCATTTGTGTTTAACACATATTCCTTGCCAAAAATGAAATAAATTTTTATTTTGGGACGGGCCAAAAAAGAAAATAAGTTGTTTGTTTTGGGATAGAGGGAGTATTTGTTAGCAACATGGAAAGGCATTAAGATTATTAGAGGTGAAGGGTGAAGATGGCTTGTATACCTGTGATGTTGCAATGTCAACATTTTTGGGGAAACCCTTCACAGAACCTGAATCAATGGAGCGGAATATCTGCATAGAGTAAAAGTAAATCTTAGCAGTTCATAGATTCCACCAATTGAATGCATGCTCAGGATATTCAACAACCTGCACATGCCAGTTATCTGGCTGGCCCTCCTCGGATACATAAAGTTTTGGATTATCTTCAGGAATCAATGTTGTTTCCTTTGTTATAGAAAATGCAGGGCTAAGTATCCATGATATGCGCTCAATTTTTATCATTGCATCATCATGCCATTGAGACATCTTTTTTCTTAGTACTGCAAATTCTCTCCACTTTGTTGCTCTCCTCCAACGTTGTGCAAAATTTATAAGCACGTCATATGCAGCAGGGCCATCAACTCTGCAGTGCAAGTCATGCCATGGCTCTCTTGGAGCCTTGGTCCCAGGCTAATATAGGCAATAAATGAAGAAATGAATACAAATTGCAACAATTATCAGCATCAATGATATCTTAGTGTAGGATTTCCAATCCGTGATAACGCATCCAAATTTGTGTTTAGGCATTTTGCTGCATTGTTGTAATTTTATGATCACGACGTTACATGACAAGTGTCGAATCATTAGCAAATGAATATTAACATAGACAATTGCCCAACTTCTCACTAATATAAATCACACACAACAGTGGATAGGAAATCAGACATTTTGGAGGAAACACCTTTTAAGGATTTGGTTTTCAACATGGGTTCTCAATAGAAACAATGTCGTTTTGATATGATGGTCTTTCGGAAAGAGCATGTGTCTACTCACCCTCCCATACCCACATTTATGTGACTTTACTGGGTGTTAGTTGTTCTCAGTACGAAAGATAGTGGCTATTTTGAAAATAATAGGAAACAAGCAATTTTTAATAAGGTTCCTTCTTTTTAAGGAAATGATTATATGGTTCACGGCTTCACGCCATTTTTTCTCCTCTGCATAATACTCAACCACTCAATATCACCCTTTTTAATAACCAAGTCCAGTAAAATGTGGAACCTTAACAAAGTGAGTTTAGTACTTATTACTCTGGAACCTATTTAATTCAACCTTCATGACGTTTTTGAGTTCCTTTTTAACTGTCCATGTAGCAAATATATTGTTCATTAATTATTGCTTACCAATGTTACTGTTTAGACTGTATTACGCTATATTGAACTTTCACAGCTTACTAAGTGATAAATAAGGATATATTTTGTTGACCGGAGAAGTTGATATTGATTCGCATGAAATGATTTGGATAAAGTGGACAATTGAATGGAGAACAGAGGGAGTGCGTACAATGTAGTGATGCACTCATTCCTCAGTTCTAATAATTGCACCATATTTGAATCAAGTGCAATGCATAACCCTTTGTAATGACAATAGAGAACTTAGATTAGCTTTATAATATTGAGGTGCTCTAAGAGATAGAGTTTAGTTGCTATAAATATTTTCACTTGACCAATTCATTTTTCAGACAGCCATTTTGTTGTAGAGTATTTGTTTAAGCCAACTTTACAAAAATAACATTTGCATGATTCTACTCACAGGAAATGTAGGCTGATGAAAATCATCTTTGTATACAGTATCAAGATCGCGGAACAAACGGTGTTCCGGTGTATCATAACGACCATCACAGAGATCAAGACCACCCAAGAAAGCTGTTATTTTTCTATTGTTGCCATGAGCCTGTGTGTCCACGAGTACACACTTCTGGTGATGGGTAAACATGGTTCCGACAACCTGAAGTAACAAGCAAGCAAATGTGAAATCATCAATAATAATTAATAAATAAATAAAAAAAATAATAAGATGTGGGGTGAAAAAACCAGTGCATAAGAGATGTTTGCTAGTACTGCCATACAGGCAATCCTCAGATCATGAAGAGATATCTGAGTAGAGAACATATACACTATCACTAATTGCATTCAGAACTGCAGAGAATAGCTGTAAAGTAAAAATCTAGAAATATGGAGAATTGTTGCACAGTAAAAACCTAGAAGCTTGACATCATCCATATGATGTCATTGGGTTGACATACTTCAGCTTAAGCATAATCACATTAATTCATTTTAATCTAAATACGTTGCAAGGTATGAAAACAAATAACTGTTCAACGTGAATAGTTGTTTTTGGATGATTATAATTCACTAGTAGTGGTCACTAGAACCTAAACCTACCACCAAACCCCTCTCCTTATTGCGACGCACTGCCTAAAAGCCCTCGCATGACGACCAGATCACACAGAAAAACAGACTTATTTTCTCAAATTGCATAGTTGCGTACATCTCTCGTTGACACTGCCACCACATGTGTATTTCTAAGTATCCAGCAAACCTGTACAATCTTTTTGAGCATTAACCGACCTACCACTTGGCAGCTTCCACATGGTGCCTCCTGACACTCTTCCGGTCTGATATCTTAGTGGTTCCTCACATCTCCATTCAAACCTCTGGTTTCTCCTCACTTGCAATTGTTCCGATCATTATTACCGACAATCTCTTTATTTTATCCCAAGTCCTAAGAGTCTATTATGATTCATGGGTTGTTTCTATAAAAATGTTGTTTAAATGTCAAGATCAATAATCAATCCGACCACTCGATTGATGATGCTATCAATTAAAAAACAAGAAAAGCAAATGGGAGAGGATGGATGCATTACTGTGCAATGCAATGTGGCAATCCATGAATTCTAAACTTCTTCGTAGATCCTACACATCACTGAAACCAAACATGCATGCAAATTTGGAGCCAGGCTAAGGAAACTTATACTTGATACCAACAATATCCAGATCTATTTTATTCCGGGTCTAAGATAGCTAATCGCAAACAACAAGACTTTGATATACAAGGCTGTCCTGGGCAAGCCGAAGTCTTCATAATTGAATAGAATACTATTAAGCCAATTTACCATTTTCCAAGAAAAGGAAATAACAAATTGCACAAACACAGCATATTATAGTCCTAGCTTTAGTTTGTTTTCGTCAGGAGTTGCAGTCAATTTGTTAATATACTCTATCTAGCTTCACGATTACAACTAGTTTAGTTCTCTTTCACTGTTCGTGCATTTTTGGATCTTTACATCTTTTTTTCTGTTCCTTCATATTTACTTGATTTATCTTCACTAGATGCTACTTCTACCTTTTTTCATAATATGACACCTTTTAGCAGCCCAATATTGAGTCCAGTTTGAGTTTTAATGATTGTTAGGTTTTCTTTGTGATTTACTCTGATTTTATATGGAATAGATATCATGTTTCAGAATTCTAGTTTGGAACACAATTCTAGATAATATTTTCAATACTATGCAACTTCCATGAGTCAAGCAGCTGAGCAAGTGCTTTTTTTTTGCGCCTTAAATGCTAACCGACATTTGCGCCTGGAGTGCACCTTAGGAGTAAGAGCTTTTATCACCTTGGTAGAGTAATATGTATTCGGTCTTGGAACGGCTAATGTGCAAGCATTCAGCTTCCAATGCCACCCTCCACTACTGCAACTTTGTGTTCACCACTTCCTTCTTCTCCACTACAAGTGCAATGTTGTCTCCAAATAATTAACACCACGGTCGTGGGTGGACCCAAAAGTGTTGGGGTCTCTTGGAAAAAGCCTTTCTATTTTTTGAATAGGGGCAAGGTCGTACACACACCCTCCCCAGAACCTACTCTCATGGGATCCAATTGGGTTGTTGTTGTTAGTCATGAGTGGACCCCTCTGGAAATAGCATCCAAAAGTACAGCGAAGAGGAATGAGTTAAGCTTTGAGCCATGGTGTAACCCTTGTCTGATTTTATATTGAACATATATCATGTTTGATAACTCTAGCTTGGTATAAGGTTGTAGATAATATATTCAATATTATGCAACTTCTATGAGTCAAGCGAGCACTTGTATTTAACAGACATTTGCACCTTGAGTGCACCACTGCACCTTAGGACTTTGTTGCTTGATCCCTCATCTAACCCTAGTTTGATTTTATAGCGAATATATATCATGTTTAATAATTCAAGATTTTTATAGAATTGAAGATTATATTTTCAATGTTATGTGACTTCCATGAGTCAAATTGGTGCATTTTCTGCACCTCAAGTGATAATGGACATTTGTGCCTTAGGACTTTTACTACCTTGGTTGCATTATATGTATTCAATCTTGGGGCGGCTATTATACCAGCATTGAGCTTTAAATGCCACCCTCCACAACTCCAATTCTGCTCACCGTTTCATGACTATTAGACTATTAGTGCAATCTACAAATAATTTACACCATGGGACGCTTTCCTGGGTCCTGTGAAAATAACATCCAAATTATAGCAAAGGAGAATTAGCTAAGCTTTGATCTCTGGTGTGACCCTAGTGTGATTTTATATTGAACATATATCATGTTTGATAACTCTAGACTGGTATAGAATTGTAGATTATATTTTCAATATTATGTGACTTCCATGTGTCAAGCGAGCGCTTTCTTTAGGCCTCAAGTGATAACGAACATTTGCGCCTTGAGTGCACCTTAGGAGTACTTAACTACTTTGATTGCATTATGCGTATTTAATCTTGGAGCAGCTAATGCGCAAGCATTGAGTTTCCAATACCACCCTCCAGGCCTCCACTACTCCCGCTTCCAATGCCCACGCCCACCCTCACAACCCCTAGACCCCGACAGAGTTGGGATTATACTGGGTGTTATTGCTGTTTTTTCCCATCTTGTTGACTATTGGTAAAATGTTTTCCACAAATAATTTACACCACGGGATGCTCGCTTGAACCTCTCTAGAAATAACATCTAGAATTATAGCAAAGAGGTATGAGCTAAGCTTTGATCCATGGTGTAACACTAGTTTGATTTTCTATCGAATATGTATCATGTTTTGTCACTCTAGATTTGTATAGAATTGTAGATAACTTCCATGAGTTAACCGAGCACTATTTTTATGTGCCTCAAGTGATAACTAACATTTGCGCCTTGAGCGCCCCTTGGAACTTTGACTATCATGGTTGAATTACACGTATTCAATCTTGGAGTAGCTAATGAACGAGAATTGTGTTTCTAATTCCACCATCCACTGTTCAAACCGTGTGTTCATCTCTTCGTTCTTTTCGTCTATTAGTTTTAGTTGTTTGCAAATAATTTACACCCACGAGACACTCACCTAGATCCTTCTGGAAATAATGAAATAACATCCAAAAATACAGCAAAGTAAGCCTACTTCAACAAGGAAAAAACATGTGACCCCAATTGGGTCCCATTACATGTCTCTCTTTGGATGTGCATACCATAAATCGTCCTCATCCTATTACCACTACAATCCTCAAACCTCCAAGCTCTTTTAAATAACTTTATGTGGTCCACCTGTTATAAGTTTTCTCTAGGTTTCTAAACACCATATGGAGGCCCTTACGACATTTTCCGAACTTTCTCCATGAGGTGTCTTAGTACGTGAATGCTTTGATAGCTAACCTTCCGGACATGAAAATTGGTTCTGTTTCTTGTCAAACCTTGGATTCAATCATTTTCTCATATAACTTCTTGGTGTGATTAAAACTTTTGTATATGCAAAATAATGGCATAGATATTGCTACATCAAAGGGTCCACCTACAACTATATTACACTGATATATCACATTGGGAAAACATGGTACCTCAACTGTCTCTTTCACATGACCGACCACCTTAAAATTGTCTCATAGCAATATCATCCAGTGGTAAGTGAATTAAAATGCAAAATTTTAACCCTATTCCCACAAACCATAGTTATAAGTAGTGTTGTGGAAAATACTACATTTACACTTGTGGTGATCGACATAATACAGAGGACTAAAAGTTTCTGTATCAAATTTGTAAAGGTCCATAGTCATCGAAGTAGTGAATATAGGTCATACGATCATAGTGTCATACACACGAAGTATGTTACAATACAACCCGTGTGAGGAAGTGAGAAACTTTGTTGGATCAAGTTACGATACCAAGCTAATTGATTAGTGCATTTAACAAAACTAGTGGTGATGCATATGGATAAGATCATTTTGTCAATGAAGTGATGAATAATTTTTTTTATTTGTTGCGATGTATATGAAGATTGATTAGGATTAGAATGTATAAGCTTTTTCTGGCAAATATATTTTCAGCTCCTAGCCTAGAGAACACACATGCTACTGTGAACACCAACAGTTACATAATTCCTCTGTCTGGTTTTATTTTTCATACTTCTCTCTTACTTTTCCCCAGTATAATGTCCACTTTTCTTATATGAACACCACTATCATTTTATTTGCCCTAACTTCCTTTTCTGTCTCTAAACTCTTTGAAATGATTTAGCATATTTGGTCTCAGTTAAGGGCAATTTATGGAAAATAAACAATGTTTTCCTAGCTTTCATTGAAAAACATGCTAACAGTATGTGGATCATATAATTTAGGGTGGAAGAAGTACAAATTCACTTTGAAGCAAAGTATAATTAAATTATAGCAGCAAATAACGCACAATCGATCACCAGATCAAAACTTACATGCTGTTTCATGTAGCTAAGCTTACTGCTCGGATAGCGTGGTGACAGCACACAAATCACAGATGAGTGTTTGAAAAACTTCTTGGTCTCCTCGTCATGGGTTGCCATCACTCCAGCCTGCATTAGTGTCATCTAAATCCATTATTTGGAACAACCAATTAAAAATATATCTTAAGAACATCAGTCACAAATGGCATTCTGCATGATAACTACCAAGTATACAGGCCAACAACAACAATAGTATGCTTCTTTTGGTCCACAAAAAAGAGTCATATTTTTCCAATGACCATAGTAGAATTTCTTACCATTGGTTGAGTAACACCACTCCATAATCCCTTTATTGTTACATAAGCTTACAAAAACCATTGAATTTAGTAATCTATGTAACTAAATTTTGATAAATTATATTTAAAATTAGCTTATTTTGTCAAAGTGTGACTTTGTTTATACATTTTATTTTTTCAAAATGTGATATTTTTGGGACAGATGGAGTACTTTCATATTTTAAGTGAAACATGTTGATGCAAGACAGCTTCAAATATATTAACACAACATTAAGTTTTACCAAGATTCCTATATGTTAACATTTTCTATGGATGGCTGTTCCCAACCTCCTTTTTACATAAATACTTCTCCCATTAAATAAAAGTTATAAAAAAACAGAAATAGTAATGGATCAAATTTAGAAGTTGCAGGTCTCAATTGAAAATTAATATAGGTAGGACTGTCAGAGGTATATATTTTTTAGAGTAAGATTTTGTAGAAAAAGAAGTATGATTTATTTCGAAGGTTAGTTTGGTTTATCGCAAGAAGGCTGGTTGTAAAATGTTAGATGTTGTTAGTTGTGACTTAAGTTAGTAGATGTAACTTGTACGCATAAAATGACAGATTCCGTGATTTTGGAGAAAATGTATCCTCCCCATGTATTCTTTTCCAAATAAAATAAAGAGAGAATCTGATTCAGCTTTTCTTCACGATACCATAGCCTTCTAAACAGAAGAAGATAATCCAATAACCAGCCTCTATTGAATATACATAAGATTGTAATATAACAGTAATAACACCGAAGAAAATAACAAATGGAGAGGTTAAACTTTACTTCTTTTAGCGACTTGATTTCAATGTAAGGATTTAAATCATCTTGATTTCAATGTAAGGATTTAAATCATGCAGCAAAAATTATAGATGAAAACTCATATACTCCGTATATTCAAATAAGGAAAATGGATTTAAGTTTTAATGTACACAAAACATTGCAAATATTTCTCAAGCATGAAATTGTCTTCTGCTCCCCTCTTTTATTCCCTGAAAGTCTGTAATACTTTATGTGGTGCTCTATTTAAGATTTGCACTTGTTTAAAAAAATATTAAATCCAATTGCTAGCAAGGAGTTGAAGACCTGAATATGAGCCAATCAATTAATCTAAGTCATCACTTTCATTAGCAATGACAAGAGAAAGATTTTTAAAAAGGGAAGAAAAAGTCCACATGTCACAAATTGGACCACCAAAAAACATTGTTCTAGATTTTGTTAGGCGCTAATCAGGTGCCTCAATGCTTACGCAGAACACTAAAATTTAATACAGAATTATAAACGCATGATTAAAGGGTAAAAGAAAACCTAAATATGCACGGCATAG